AAACTTTAATGTTTGTAAAACGTTATCAATTACCAAGACCCACCACGTGGAGGTGACTACTCACGGGTCTCATTAGAATGTATGGTAAATCAGTACTGTTTCATATATTTCTCGCACAAGTCTCAATTTGTATTTAATTTAAGTAACTTGTTAGAAAGAGAAATGGTATTCGTAAAATAAGGAATAATTTGTTTGATCGATCTAGTGACTCATTTAAGATATTGAAAAAATATTCTTGTTTGACTAATACTAGTAGAGGACTAAATTATTTTCGAAATTACAGATTCAAAGAGTAATTCTGAATAGCAATATTATTGTTAGAATAATATTATCTATGTGTATGCAAAAATATAACGTGTATCACGTGTATAACGTGTAATTGTTAAAAAATGGTAACTAATAAAGTATATATGTACGACTATGATACAAGTCATGGAAATTGAACTCGTATTCAGATTCATATAAATACGATCAAGTATTAACCCAACACCAAAGAAATCAAACCATGTAACTTACCGATCGTTGAAGTCAGAACTGTAGATTGAAGTTTGGTTGCAGACAAATGATTAATTAAAAATTTTAAATAATATTTAGAAGTGTTATAGAAGTGAATTTATTGTTTACTTGTTACGAATAAATTATTAGAAATATTTAAACAAATGGAATATTCAGAAATATTATTTAAAGACTCACTCCTGTATTTTGGTTGATGTGCACACGACGGAAGTTCAATTGGTAATAAGCCTCCGTACCACTGAAGGTTAATTTAATGTTTCGATTGTCGGTGACCCGGAAGTGTTGACAATTTTTTTTCAAATTTCTAAAATTTGGTCGGTGTGCATACGACGGAAGTTTTATAAGCTAATGATTCTCCGCTCAAGGTTAATATATATTTTGGTCGTCGGTGATTCAAGACAGTTGATAATTCTTTTCAAACATTTAAAATTTGATCGATGTGTTCACGACAAAAATTCAATTCGTACTGAACTCTTTTCTCGGTTCATTGACATTAATCTGAACTTTCTGTCGTTAGAGATGCGACACAGGTAATAAAAATTTCTTAGAAATGTATTAGTGTCGCGATTACGATAAACGATTAATTAAAAATTTTAAATAGAACTTAGAAATGTTACAGGAAGAGAATTTATTGTTTAATTGTTACAAATAAATTATTAGAAATACTGGATAATATATAAACAAGTAGAATATTCAGAAATATTATTTAAATATTCACTACTTTATTTTGTTCGATGTGCACACGACGGAAGTTCAGTTGGTAATGAGCCTCCGTACCACTGAAGGTTAATCTAATGTTTCGATCGTCAGTGAGCTGGAAGTATTGACAATTTTTTTTCAAACTTTGTAAAATTTGATCGATGTTCACACGACAAAAATTCATTTCGTAATAAGCTCTTGTCTCCGTATCGATTGATATTAATCCGATCTTTCGCTCGTTAATGATGCGATACAGATAATGAAAATTTTTCAGAAATGATTTAATGACTGGATTACTAGAAATGATTAATTAAAAATTTTAAATAGAACTTAGAAATGTTATAGAAGTGAATATTGTTTAATTGTTACAAATAAATTATTAGAAATATTATACAATGTTTAAACAAGTAGAATATTTAAAAATATTATGTAAAAACTCACCTCTAAATTTTGGTCGTTGTGCACACCTCGGAAGTTCAATTGGTAATGAGTCTCCGTACCGCTGAAGGTTAATTTAATATTCCGATTGTCAGTGACCCGGAACTGTTGATAATTTTTTTTTAATTTTTCGAAAGTATTTGTCTATAATACCAATCCGTAGTTTTTAGATTTCTATCGCAAGGTTACACTTTCATAAATATGTTCCAATGTCAAATGTAATAATTTATCAATTTTTTAATCTATAACGGCTAAAACTAAATTCACACTTTCATAATATTAATTTTTTAGTTATAACTGCAGTGATCTATATTAAATTGAAATTTATGTAGAGAAGAGTTATGTAGTCAAAAATCAAGTTAAAAAGTGTTCGTCGCTGGAGAATAACATATAAGCGCAAAATATAAAAATTTTCGCTCGTTTATTGTTTCAGACAGCAAGAAATATATGTATTATGTAACTATCTTTTCCGTTATTCTAAATAAAATAATTTAATTATTCTAAATGAATTGTTCGAACCATGAAATAGTAGCTTGGAAGTTCAATCACCGATTTAATTGTTATAAGTAAATAGTTAAAATTGTTAATATACAAAAGTATCATCGAAATGCATTATTTTACAATTTGAATAATTCATATGAAACAATTAAATTATTTCTATTATATTTCTAGACATTATTTAATAATTTTCACAACTTTCATTTTACGATTGGACAATTAAATTAATTATTTCATTCAGTAAGTCAACGTCGTTTCTCTACATTGTTCAAGATTCTTATAAATTAATAATTAAATATTTTAAATAACACTTGAAGATATTACAGAAGAGAATTTATTGTTTAATTGCAAATAAATTAATATGTGCCCACGACAAAAATTCAGTTAAAATGATTAGAAATATTAGATAATGTTTAAAGAATTAGAATATTCAGAAATATTATTTAAAACTCACTCCTAAATTTTAGTTGATGTGCACACGACGGAAGTTTGATTGATAATGAACCTTCGTACCCCTTAAGGTTAATGTATATGTATATTTTGGTCATCGATGATGTAGAACATCTGATAATTTTTTTACAATTTCTAAAATTTGGTTGATGTGAATACGACGGAAGTATAATTGTTAAGGAGCCTCCCTATTGCTCAAGGTTACTGTATGTTTCGGTCGTCAGTGATCCAAAACAGTTGATAATTTTTTTCAAACTTCCAAATTTTGTCGATATGCCCACGACAAAAATTCAGTTCGTAATAAGCTCTTGCCTCCGTATCGATTGACATTGGTCTGATCTTTCGGTCGTTAATGATGCGACGCAGATAATGAAAATTTCTTGGTAATGTATTAGAGTGACTCGATCACTACAAATGATTAATTAAAAATTTTAAACATCACTTAGAAACATTACAGAAGAGAATTTACTGTTTAATTGTTACAAATAAATCATTAGAAATATTAGATAATGTTTAAACAATTAGAATATTCAGAAATATTATTTAAAACTCACTCGTGAATTTTGGTCGATGCGTACACGACGGAAGTTTGATTGGCAATGAACCTTCGTACTGCTTAAGGTTAATATATGTATATTTTGGTCGTCAATGATCTGGAACATCTGATAATTTTTTTCCAATTTCTAAAATTTGGTTGATGTGAATACGACGGAAGTATAATTGGTAATGAACCTCCGTACCGCTAAGGTTAACGTATGTTTCGGTCGTCAGTGATCTAAAACAGTTGATAATTTTTTTCAAATTTCTAAAATTTGGTCGATGTGCCCACGACAGAAATTCAATTCGTAATGAGCTCCTGTCTCTGTATCGATTGACATTGATCTGATCTTTCGGTCGTTAATGATGCGATACAGATAATGAAAATTTTTTAGAAATGTATTAGCGACTCGATCACTACAAATGATTAATTAAAAATTTTAAATAGAACTTAGAAGTGTTATAGAAGCGTCTTTAAATGTTACAAATAAATTATTAAAAGTGGTAAGTATAAACTCCTAAAATTTGGTCGGTGAACGTCGTATTTTTAGTGATTGGGATAATTTTTGTGAAATACGCGAATAAATGTCCTTTGTTATATTGCAAACTTTGTTCTTCTAATTTCTTCGACACATATCTTTGTGCTTTTTAAGCGTTAATAACTATGTCAAAAATAAATCGTTCAGTTGCCAATTATTATTATCAACTGAAACTTATAAATTATGATAAATGCAATTTAATAACTGTTATATACAATTCCAATGTAATAATCCCTAATTAATTTAGTAATTTAACGATTTAATAATCCCTAATCGGTGAATTTTTCTCATTTTATTCCGATGAAAAGTAACGATCGGAGTGATTACAGATTATTATATTTTAATTTTATTCCTGTCTCATTTATTACTCATTAGGCGATGGTAATTGATAATTAGTCGATTTTTCGTTAAGTCGACGATGAATTAGTTATTACACATTGTTCCACTAAATTGCCATTTCATTCGAATTTGTACATTAATATCAAAATTACACGTTAAACACTGCGGACTGTTGCAATTAAATCTGTTCGCTTTCACCGTGACAATTGGAAATCGAGTATGATCGTTGCAGGGTGAATTTTTATCTACCTCTTATGTAACGCCAATCTTTCTTCTCAATCAATTGGATTGGAACAAAAACACAATTTTCCAACGTTACGAGTTTCTATAAAAAATTGTATAGCTTTGAGAAATCGAAAAATTCGAATCGGTTGTTTCCCATTCGCTCCGGAGAATGTATGTACCGAGGGTGAGGAAAGGGGTTCTGAACTTTCATTTAATAACCATGGAATTAACGTTTTAGCGTGGGTGGGCGCGTTGAGCACTGCGGTCTCCCGTGGATCGGCACCATTGGTCGTTGGCGCGTGTCGCCGTGGAAGTACAAGGCTTACAGCGGTGATCGGCGGTCTCGTGCTGGCATTGGCCTCCCTCTTCACCTCGTTCGCCGCAGAATTGCACCAGGTCCTCCTCAGGTGAGTCACAGACTTGCTGACTTTCTCCGACAATTCACGACGGCCCGCATTTATCTCCGTTTTTTATTCACCAACGCGTCGTCCACGTGTTTGTAATTTGTAAATTTTTCATCCTTGCCGTTTTTCCAATATATTCTGAGATATCTATTATTCTACTAGACTCTTTATTACGTCGTTGAATTGGATCTTTAAAGTTCGAAATTGGAGAGGAAACGAGTTTGATGGATGAGAGATTTATGAGAAATGTGATCGAAAAGTGGAAGTGATACGTTTGGGAATGTTTAATACGATGTTCATCGCCGATTTGAATCCGAGGCCGCTCGTCGTCGGTTGAAGCCCACGAGGGTCTTTAAATATTAATTCAAGCGAATTACCATTTGATACGTTTCCTCCATTCCCGTGAAACTCGAGTCCGCGAATTTTCTTAAATCCTGACAAATTATCGTAATTCACGTTTCCTTGAATTCTGGCAAATTTGTTCCAATCTCCTAAAATCCTCGGTGAATCGTGACATTCGGCAACATTTTAATTGGGATTTAATTTTAATAAAAAAAAAAATTCATTCGCGTCAATTCTAACACAAATTGATGATCAAATAAAATATTCGTTCACATTCCATCTAATTCCAGCAATCTAAGTCTAGAGGAGGAAATTAATTTACATTCGAACGTTACTGGCGATTAATTTTGACAAATTGGCAATCAAAGAGGAAATTAATTTACATTTTGATCACGATCTTAATAAACTGACAATGAAACGAAAAATTATTCTGCGCCCTCCTCAGTTTTAACGAACTAACCAGAAATGAAATAGAAAAATTGATTCGCACCTTTTTCCAGTTTTAACAAATTAGCGGCAAGAAAAAATGTACAATTTCTTTTGTATCCTTTTTTTTTTTTAAATGTTGCTTCGAGAGACAAACGCAGGTTTCGTCCAATTTTTCAACGGTGGAAGTTAAATTTTGTGCCATGCGTGTTTCTTTCTCTGTCCGTGCGAACGTAAAATTTTCGCGCAAAGTGAAAAATGATGGGGTGCAGGTGGAAAGTAGCAAGGTTGGAGCCGTGACTCCCTTGAGATACGACCTCTCGATGGTCAAATCGAAGACGATCGGTCTTCGTTGAAAGCTCAGATCTCGAACTCTGCACGAAAAGAAAGAATTAACGGGATTTGCCCGGGGAAATATATGGGGCAAATAGTGTTAACAAATGGTGCAACAGGATTGAAACGGAAAGCGAAAATGCGGAAATTTTTACGGGCGAGAATGAATATTAATTTTGTTCTCAAAAACTCTCGGGAGATCCACTCTCGATCGTTTGTTTTTATGTTGTTATTTAATTTCTAAAATAATATCAATTTCAAACAGTCGAGTGATGTAAAATTAATTATCAAAAANTGTCAGGAGATCCACTCTGGGTCGTTTGTTTTTATGTTGTTATTTAATTTCTAAAATAACATCAATTTCAAACAGTCGAGTGATGTAAAATTAATTATCAAAAACTGTCAGGAGATCCACTCTGGGTCGTTTGTTTTTATGTTGTTATTTAATTTATAAAATAATATCAATTTCAAATATCACAGTCGAGTGATGTAAAATTAATTATCAAAAACTGTCAGGAGATTCACTCTGGGTCGTTTGTTTTTCCTTGATTTCTAAAATAATATGAATTTCAAACAGTCGAGTGATGTAAAATTAATTATCAAAAACTGTCAGGAGATCCACTCTGTGTCGTCTGTTTTTATGTTGTTATTTAATTTCTAAAATAATATCAATTTCAAACAGTCGAGTGATGTAAATATAATTATCAAAAACTGTCAGGAGATTCACTCTGTGTCGTTTGTTTTTGCTTGATTTCTAAAATAATATCAATTTCAAACAGTCGAGTGATGTAAAAATGAATAATTCTCGGAAACACAGAGCGTACAGTAGCCATCACACAAGTTAAATACCCTAACCGTCTTAAATCTGAGGTGGATAAGTAAGTTGTAGATAATCTTGAAAGTTCCAAAGTCCTAAGAGTCCTAAAAATCCAGATTCTAAAGACTCTGAAAAATTCCGAGGGACTGAGAATCCCATAAGCGTAAAAAGATCCTGAGAAATCTTGAAAATCTCAGAGTCCCGTGTAAAATTCTACGAGATCTTGGAAGCAAGATCCCCTAGCATTTAGAAACGTAAGATAAAATTCCCTCGAGAGCCCAGAAAATTCAGATTCTAATAAATGATTCTAAAAAAAAAAAAAAAAAAAAAAAAAAAAAAAGAAAAATCCAAACCAAAAAGAGACATATCTCCATATATACTCTGTCACGATCCTGTCGAACTTTAAACTCGAATTCGAAACCCGTGAACTACGCGAGCTGCGAGTCCTCCTCTTCCCGAGTAAGCAACGTCAAATTTGCCGATTTCTCACGGGAGCTCGCTTGTAAATCTCGGATTCTAAACTCTCGGAACTTTGCTCAGATTCCCCGTCGAAAACGTTGCCCCTGTCCAAGCTCTTTCGCGTCTCTCTCGCGAATCGTCGGAACTATTCCCAATACAGCGTGTACAAAGCGAAACGATTTTCACCGTTTGCAAAATGTAACAGCTACGGCGTGGTGCTGGGCACCGGGGCCGGCCTCGTCAGGGAAACTGCCGGCCTGGTGCTGGGCCATTACTTCAGAAAACGGCGGGAGTTCGTGGAGATGGTGGTGCAAGCCGGCGCGGGGGTAGGAATAGTGCTGTTCAGCGTCTTCTACAGGGAGGCGGTCGGGTAAGTTATCGGTTCTACTTCCGCTATCGCGTGCAAATGTTAATATACATCGTCGTTTGCTTGAGAAATTTTTCTGCGCGCGCGTGTGTGTGTGTGTGTGTGTGTGTGTGTGTGTGGAAAATATCGATAAATTGATGAGAGAAAGAAGTCAGTCGGTGTGAGAAAACTCGAAGTCGAGAGTTTTATTGGATAGTAGTGATTTGCTTCGAAGATACTGAGAGCAAGATGTTGTGGTATTATGGTGTATTGATTGTATTAATCAGACGAGTAGACTGTGCATTTTTATATCTGTATAAAAGTACGATTCGTTGCAAAATAAATTTGACGTTAGTTAAGAAAATTACTTATTAAATATCTTATGTTATAGAAATTCTTCTCTATGATATTTAACAAGTAGATTAATTTCTCTTATGATGCAATTTTCTTACGATAAAGAAATGTGTTTCTCCCCATAGATGCATAAAAATTCACAGTCTAGTAAGTTAGTAAAATATTATTTTCAATGAATTAGTAAAATACTGATATTATTTTAAATTGATATCAATGGAAAGTTTAATTAACGTGGCACGTCTTTGATTATGCGAGAGGAAGTCTGGATAATCGCAAATTTGATAATATTAATTTTTTTATATAAATTTCATTTTTAATTTTATAATTTTATAATGCTTAGGAGGATAATGCAAGTTAAACATTGACATTGTTTCAATTAATACATATTTGGCAGAATTGTAACTTTTGTAACGTGATATCTCAAGACAGGCATATCGTAGTTTATCTAGACGATGATGGAAGTAAAATATTGATAAAATTTTATATTGACGGTGTGTTAAGTTCAATTGACACGGTGCACATGTTTAATTACGAAAGAAAATTGGGAATCGCAAATATTATCCCAAGATGGAAACATCGTCTGCTCCAAAGATAATAGAAGTAAAATATTGATACGGGTTGAAATTTGGTGAAGCTTTAATTAATGCATCGTGAAAATATATATTTTTATATTCTTCGGTTGTCAAAGAAAATTTTTAATAAATTATAGAAGGGAGTTAACGATCATGGTTGTAGGAAGTTGAAACATTGATAAAGATTTGACAATTAATTTTGTAATTACTTCTTCTTTACTAGAATGAGAATGTGAAAATAGCAAGTATTGGATTGTATCATGAATTTATATATTATGATATAATATAATATATAATAATTATTATAATATTAAAATATAATACCCAACACCTCATATATAACCTATACCTAACTCAATTATTATAACATTAAAATATAATGTATAACTTTAGTAATTGTTATACATCACTATACTTGCAATATTGAAAATATTATAACGTAGTATAATATATAATAATTATTAATATTATATAATAATTATTATAATATTAAAATATAATAATATTATATTATTATATTATTAAAATTTAATAATATTGTATTATTATAATATTAATATATAATAATATTATATTATTATAATATTAAAATATAATATCTAACATCTTATAATACCCAATTATTATAACATTAAAATATAATGTATAACTTTAGTAATTGTTATACATCACTATACTTGCAATATTGAAAATATTATAACGTAGTATAATATATAATAATTATTAATATTATATAATAATTATTATAATATTAAAATATAATAATATTATATTATTATATTATTAAAATTTAATAATATTGTATTATTATAATATTAATATATAATAATATTATATTATTATAATATTAAAATATAATATCTAACATCTTATAATACCCAATTATTATAACATTAAAATATAATGTATAACTTTAGTAATTGTTATACATCACTATACTTGCAATATTGAAAATATTATAACGTAGTATAATATATAATAATTATTAATAATTATTAATATTATATAATAATTATTATAACATTAAAATATAATGTATAACTTTAGTAACTGTTATACATCACTATACTTGCAATATTGAAAATATTATAACGTAGTATAATATATAATAATTATTAATAATTATTAATATTATATAATAATTATTATAACATTAAAATATAATGTATAACTTTAGTAACTGTTATACATCACTATACTTGCAATATTGAAAATAATATTATAACGTAGCTAAAAGTATTATCAGGTACTGTGTTGGAATGATAATCAGTTAGGAGGCTCAGTTAATTACGCGTACGAGACACGCAGGTGGACTACACCATTGCCGGAACAGGAAAATGGAATTTGGACACGTATGATCAGACAAGTAGAACAGTCGTGTATCAGATCAGGCGAGACCAGCTGAATAACTACGTTAGCCCAATAAGTAGGATAGATACATATCTGAACGGACAAATAGAATACCTCTGTGTCTAGTCCTCCAAGTAGAATAGAATTGAATGTAATCGGGCAAGTAGAATAGCTCGCTATATCACGTGTGACAATATTCGTATCTAATTAAACAAATAAACAGTCTTGTTCAACGCGTGTAGAAATAAATTGACATGTCGAGCAGCCTTATGATTGATAATTGTTGCGTTTAATTGAACGTTGAATATTACACCGTCAGCAATTTTTAATATTAAGTAAAACAGTTTCGTATTTGTTGAATTAATCGGCCAATTGATGCAAATAATAATTTTATTTTCGTCAGATAAGCAACGGATGGCGAGTAAATGTGTTTCGTTAGACGCGAAAGGTGATCAATACGTAAATAGAGAAAATAATTTTATGTTTGTTCATTGAGCCAACAATTTTATCTCTTGATTGATAATGGTGATAACAGTAGCAATAAATTGTGCAACAAAGGAACGATGAAGGAGTGAGTCTCGAGGAAAATCTTGGAGGAATAAAATGAAACGAATGGACAAAGTTTACTCGAGACTCTTCTTTGATAAATTTTTCAAACGATCCTAATGATAGAAATCTACTCACAAAAATTGATGAGCCGACGATAACAACGGGATATTTGTTCGAAACAATAACGGAAGAAAGTAAGGGGGAAAACGGAGATGAAAAGGGGGAAACGTAGGAGAATCATGAAGAAGAGAAACGCGACAATTATTATTCAATCAGCATGGAACACCGCGTGCACAATCGAACGAAACGAATCGACCACCAATCTCTCGTCGCTCGGCGTCACGTTTCTCTCAGGCGAGCAGTTTGAGCGCTTTATCTACATCGAGTGTGTTTTCTTTTTTTTTTTTTTTTCCATCGGCGATGACCGATGATTTTTCAAACGATTTCCTACCGTGTGCCGGCGACGTGAACGTATGTACATATATATATATATATATATATATAACGAAAATCACACACAGGCGTCGGTTAAGTATCGTCGCTGGAGTGAATGCGCAGCGTAAACTGCGACGAGTGAAATTTCTCCGAGGAGCTTGCTTCGAACGTTTCCCCGATTTGTCGAGCTGTTGAAAAGACGGGACAGATTGGATTCCACGCGTGTGTGACGCGGACGTAGAAATAATCGCGCGTTTCCAATTTACCCGACGCTTCTCGCATTTTGTTTCAAATAAAGAAATCTAGATCGAACTGAGTCGGATTAGATTGGCGTTACGTTATTGATTAAATTAGATCGTATTGTTTTGACAATATAACATACGTAGGTTGGATTAAATATTGTGACGATTAATTGATTAAAAGATTGATCAACGAAAAGATGGTTAAATATAAGTATAAAAATATAAGTAAATGTAGAAAGTGTTGCCTTTTGTGCATTAATTACGCAGTTCTATAACACATGTTCAGTTGGATATGAAGATAAATAGTGATTTTAAGCTTTTTCGATATTTTATGACAGACCGAAATGGAAAATAAATGATTATGTTGATTTCGAATCGTGTTACATTTGATATGTGGGTCTCTATATATTTCAATCATTCGAAATTTTATTTAGAATTGCTGGAATCGGATAACAATCGAAAGATATTTACTGAAATCCATTAAATTCTATGGTCGAATTATTTATCGAATTATTTATTTTCTGTTTTTTTTTTTTTTTTTTTTTTTTTTTTTTTTTGTTTCCGTGTCCACGTGTTTTATGAACATATTTGGATCATCAATTTTTATGAATTTTCTTTTCCTGAATTGCTTTATAACAATATTCTTTTGCTGTAGTTTTTGAAATGTTTAAACATATGACAACACATACGAAGGTAAAATAAATAAAATAGATAACAAATTGATAAAAAAAATTAATTCGTCACATCGGAACATATAATAAAACTTGTCCGCTTTAAAAATTGTTTCCTACGTGATACTATATTTTTATGCAACCATAAAAAGGATTTGAACGTGAAGTTAGGAAGACGTTACATTAATTTCAAAATTCACTTGAAACAAAATACTTGCAGGACTTGCGTCCAGAAAATTAAAATTATAGAAACAACAAAGAAAAATTTATAGCAAAGGTATAAACATAGTATAAAGAGTGCAAACTTTTACTTAAATTAAAAAGTCAGTCCCATTTTCCAGTTTATGAAACTTTTTTTATTGCTTTATATACTAATTATTCTTACATTGTTATTTTGACGACTCTGATAAAATATATCTAAATATATCTAAATATATAATAAATAAAATAAATAATAAAATATATAATAAATATAATAAATAATAAAATATATCTAAATATATAATAAATAAAATAAATAATAAAATATATAATAAATATAAATAATAAAATATATAATAAATATAATAAATAATAAAATATATTTAAATATATCTGAAAAGCATGAGATAATTTATACTATACTACTAATTTCTAACTATTTCAAAACTGTTAACAAAATTCAAGAATAGTTTAGATTAGTATCAATCATATCATCAATTGATGTAGTATCATAATAATGTTATAATCGTTATGAATCTAGCTCAGCCTCGAGTTCATCACATCAAACTTTCACGCAGTTTCTAAACGATAGTGGATGTTCAAAGTAGCTTACCACTAAGTGTCTTATTATGCTCGTGGAACATGCTCAC